GGGGGGGGGGGGGGGGGGGGGGGGGGGGGGGGGGGGGGGGGGGGGGGGGGGGGGGGGGGGGGGGGGGGGGGGGGGGGGGGGGGGGGGGGGGGGGGGGGGGGGGGGGGGGGGGGGGGGGGGGGGGGGGGGGGGGGGGGGGGGGGGGGGGGGGGGGGGGGGGGGGGGGGGGGGGGGGGGGGGGGGGGGGGGGGGGGGGGGGGGGGGGGGGTTGGGGGGTTGGGGGGGGGGGGGGGGGTGGGGGGGGGGGGGGGGGGGGGGGGGGGGGGGGGGGGGGGGGGGGGGGGGGGGTGGGGGGGGGGGGGGGGGGGGGGGGGGGATGGGGGGGGGGGGGGGGGGGGGGGGGGGGGGGGGGGGGGGGGGGGGGGGGGGGGGGGGGGGGGGGGGGGGGGGGGGGGGGGGGGGGGGGGGGGGGGGGGGGGGGGGGGTTGGGGGGGGGGGGGGGGGGGGGGGGGGGGGGGGGGGGGGGGGGGGGGGGGGGGGGGGGGGGGGGGGGGGGGGGGGGGGGGGGGGGGGGGGGGGGGGGGGGGGTTGGGGGGGGGGGGGGGGTGGGGGGGGGGGGTTGGGGGGGGGGGGGGGGGGGGGGGGGGGGGGGGGGGGGGGGGGGGGGGGGGGGGGGGGGGGGGGGGGGGGGGGGGGGGGGGGGGGGGGGGGGGGGGGGGGGGGGGGGGGGGGGGGGGGGGGGGGGGGGGGGGGGGGGGGGGGGGGGGGGGGGGGGGGGGGGGGGGGGGGGGGGGGGGGGGGGGGGGGGGGGGGGGGGGGGGGGGGGGGTTGGGGGGGGACTTATGTTCCCTGTGGGGGGGTCCCCCGGGTCATTATCCTAAGTACCCCCCAATAGGGTCACCTTATCCTAAGTACCCCCAATATAGGTCACCTGTACCCTTACCCCCCAATATAGGTCACCTTATCCTAAGTACCCCCAAATATAGGTTTTTGTGTACCCCCAATATAGGTTCACCTTTTCCTGGGGTGGTGGGGAGGGACTGTAGGTCACTTATCCTAGAGGGGTGGGGGGAGTACCCCCAATATAGGTCACCTTATCCTAAGTACCCCCCAATATAGGTCATCGTATCCTAATGTACCCCCATTTCCACCTTATCCTAAGGGTTTGGGGTAGGTGATCCTAAAGTTGGGGTTTGGAGGATTATCCTAAGTACCCCCAATAATATTGGTCACCTTTATCCTAAGTACCCCCCATATAGGTCACGTATTATCCTAAGTACAGGGCTGGTGTTGGGTCACCTTATCCTAAGTACCCCCCAATATAGGTCACCTTATCCTAAGTACCCCCCAATATTGGGTCACCTTATCCTAAGTACCCCAATATAGGTCACCTTATCCTAAGTACCCCCAATATAGGTCACCTTATCCTAAGTACCCCCAATGGGTGGGGTCACTTTATCCTAAGTACCCCCCAATATTGGTTGGTAGATTTTTAGGTCACCTTATCCTAAGTACCCCCAAGTATAGGTCACCTTATCCTAAGTACCCCCAGTATAGGTCACCCTTATCCTTACCCCCTTAGGTCACCTTATCCTAAGTACCCCCCAATATAGGTCACTTTGGTTTACCCTAAGTAGGTCACCTTATCCTAAGTACCCCCAATATAGGTCACCTTATCCTAAGTTTAGGTCACCTTCCTAAGTACCCCCCAATATAGGTCACCTTATCCTAAGTTACCCCCCATTATAGGTCACCTTATCCTAAGTACCCCCAAAGTACCCCCCCCCAATATAGGTCACCTTATCTAAGTACCCCCCATTATAGGTCACCTTATCCTAAGTTTAGGTCACCGTATAGGTCCTATAAGTACCCCCCAATATAGGTCACCCCCCTAAGTACCCCCAATATAGGTCACCTTATCCTAAGTACCCCCCAATATAGGTCACCTTACCCTAAGTACCCCCAATATAGGTCACCTTATCCTAAGTACCCCCAAATATAGGTCACCTTACCCTAAGTACCCCCCCAATATAGGTCACCTTATCCTAAGTACCCCCCAATATAGGTCACCTTATCCTAAGTACCCCCAATATAGGTCACCTTATCCTAAGTACCCCCCAAATATAGGTCACCTTATCCTAAGTACCCCCCAATATAGGTCACCTTATCCTAAGTACCCCCAATATAGGTCACCTTATCCTAAGTACCCCCAATATAGGTCACCTTATCCTAAGTACCCCCAATATAGGTCACCTTATCCTAAGTACCCCCAATATAGGTCACCTTATCCTAAGTACCCCCAAATATAGGTCACCTTACCCCTAATAGTTTTCCCCCCTAAATATAGGTCACCTTATCCTAAGTACCCCCCCAATATAGGTCACCTTATCCTAAGTACCCCCCAATATAGGTCACCTTATCCTAAGTACCCCCAATATAGGTCACCTTATCCTAAGTACCCCCAATATAGGTCACCTTATCCTAAGTACCCCCAATATAGGTCACCTTATCCTAAGTACCCCCAATATAGGTCACCTTATCCTATGTACCCCCAATATAGGTCACCTTATCCTAAGTACCCCCCAATATAGGTCACCTTATCCTAAGTACCCCCCAATATAGGTCACCTTATCCTATGTACCCCCAATATAGGGTCACCTTATCCTAAGTACCCCCCAATATAGGTCACCTTATCCTATGTACCCCCCAATATAGGTCACCTTATCCTAAGTACCCCCCAATATAGGTCACCTTACCTTATCCTATGTACCCCCCAATATAGGTCACCACCTAAGTTATATCCTAAGTACCCCCAATATAGGTCATAGGTCACCTTATCCTAAGTACCCCCCAATATAGGTCACCTTATCCTAAGTACCCCCAATATAGGTCACCTTATCCTAAGTACCCCCCCAATATAGGTCACCTTATCCTAAGTACCCCCAATATAGGTCACCTTATCCTAAGTACCCCCAATATAGGTCACCTTATCCTATGTACCCCCAATATAGGTCACCTTATCCTAAGTACCCCCAATATAGGTCACCTTATCCTAAGTACCCCCCAATATAGGTCACCTTATCCTAAGTACCCCCCAATATAGGTCACCTTATCCTATGTACCCCCAATATAGGTCACCTTATCCTAAGTACCCCCCAATATAGGTCACCTTATCCTAAGTACCCCCAATATATAGGTCACCTTATCCTAAGTACCCCCAATATAGGTCACCTTATCCTATGTACCCCCAATATAGGTCACCTTATCCTAAGTACCCCCCCAATATATAGGTCACCTTATTATCCTAAGTACCCCCCCAATATAGGTCACCTTATCCTATGTACCCCCAATATAGGTCACCTTATCCTATGTACCCCCAATATAGGTCACCTTATCCTATGTACCCCCCAAATATAGGTCACCTTAGGTCACCTTATCCCCATATAGGTCACCTTATAGGTACCCCCAATATAGGTCACCTTATCCTAGTACCCCCAATATAGGTCACCTTATCCTATGTACCCCCCCAATATAGGTCACCTTATCCCTATGTATCCTATGTACCCCCCCCCCAATATAGGTCACCTTATCCTATGTACCCCCAATATAGGCTCTCTCCCAATATGTATGTATCTCCCACAGTGATCAGACTGTACATTGTAACTTTGATACAAGTCACAAGATGACAAGTTGCAGCAGAGGCTGATCTGTGTCGGACATTTGTGAACACAGTCAAGAATTGCACAGGCACCGGGACTTACATCACTGTGTCATCTCAGTCCAGGAAGTGAGAGTTGTCCCTGGTTGATGCCTGAACAAAGGTGGTGCTGTACTCCTGGAGAGAGAAGGCCTTGTCAGGGGAGTCCCTCCTCAGTCCCTCAATGTTCAGCTGGTCCCATGGAGAGAATATTGTACATCTGCCAATAATCCCAGATATGGAAATGTGATTCTCTCTCCCAGATGATGGCACCGTGGAGATGATGAAGAGGCCTCGCTGTTCTCTCCCCGATGTCGTCCAATCATCCGGGCCCCAGAGGATCCGCAGGAAACGATACGCTTTCAGTGGGACAGTGTGGCAGACAAAGCACTTGACCTGGAGGTATGGAGTCATGGGGACATCCGGGGAATGGTATGTCCATGTATGTGGTTGGTATGTAATGTGTCTACAAGGTGGGAGGTATGGAGTCATGGGGACATCCGGGGAATGGTATGTCCATGTATGTGGTTGGTATGTAATGTGTCTACAAGGTGGGAGGTATGGAGTCATGGGGACATCCGGGGAATGGTATGTCCATGTATGTGGGTGGTATGTAATGTGTCTACAAGGTAGGAGGTATGGAGTCATCATCCGGGGAGGTATGGATGTCTCATCTGTGGTGGAATGTAATGTGTCCATGGGGTAGGAGGTATGGAGTCATGGGGGATCCGGGGGTATCTCCGTATGTGGAATGTAATGTGTCCATGGGGTAGGAGGTATGGGGAGTCAGGGAGGACCTCTCGGTGGAATGTAATGTGTCCATGGGGGGTAGGAGGTATGGAGTCAGGGAGGACCTCTCGGTGGAATGTAATGTGTCCATGGGGTAGGAGGTATGGAGTCAGGGAGGACATCTCGGTGGAATGTAATGTGTCCATGGGGTAGGAGGTATGGAGTCAGGGAGGCATCTCGGTGGAATGTAATGTGTCCATGGGGTAGGAGGTATGGAGTCAGGGAGGACCTCTCGGTGGAATGTAATGTGTCCATGGGGTAATGTGTCTACAAGGTAGGAGGTATGGAGTCAGGGAGGGCATCTCGGTGGAATGTAATGTGTCCATGGGGTAGGAGGTATGGAGTCAGGGAGGGCATCTCGGTGGAATGTAATGTGTCCATGGGGTAGGAGGTATGGAGTCAGGGAGGGCATCTCGGTGGAATGTAATGTGTCCATGGGGTAGGAGGTATGGAGTCAGGGAGGGCATCTCGGTGGAATGTAATGTGTCCATGGGGTAGGAGGTATGGAGTCAGGGAGGACCTCTCGGTGGAATGTAATGTGTCCATGGGGTAGGAGGTATGGAGTCAGGGAGGACCTCTCGGTGGAATGTAATGTGTCCATAGGGTGATGCTGATAAGATGGTGTCACTGGTCTGCACCTTTTCAGATCTTTTGATCATGTATGTTCCTCCAGAACTGATGGAGGAGATCTGGAATCTCATATGATCTTGTAGTGAGCAGTCCTCCATCTTTCTTCTAGGATGGAGAGCTACCCCATATCCTTGGCAGAAGAAACCATAAGGACATTGATGAGGAGCGCCCTGGAGGCCTGGAGCCGGGAGACGCAGCTCACCTTCTCCGAGAAGAGGAAGGACGAAGCGGATATTCGAGTAGGCTTTGTGGGAGGAACCCATGGTGATGGCTATCCCTTTGACGGTCCAGGTGGAACGCTCGGTCATGCCTTCTTTCCCGGAGTAGGGCCAATCGCTGGAGAAACTCACATGGACGCCGATGAGCAATGGACTTATAACCGTAAGAGGAAACCATTTACAGAATGTTTTGTTGTGTTGAGAACAGGAAAGGTGCAAATGGGCGGGGCCAGAGACTACAATGCAGAAACTGCCCAGCACTCTATCCAGATGACCAGCACTAAAAGATCCATTTCATATGTTCCATCATTAAATCCTCCCTCCGGCCTTCCTTTCAGCCTTGCACAGGTGTACCGGCTCCTCCCCTTTATTCTTGCACACGTGTACCGGCTCCTCCCCTTCAGTCTTGCACAGGTGTACCGGCTCCTCCCCTCCAGTCTTGCACAGGTGTACCGGCTCCTCCCCTTCAGTCTTGCACAGGTGTACCGGCTCCTCCCCTTCAGTCTTGCACAGGTGTACCGGCTCCTCCCCTCCAGTCTTGCACAGGTGTACCGGCTCCTCCCCTCCAGTCTTGCACAGGTGTACCAGCTCCTCCCCTCCAGTCTTGCACAGGTGTACTTGCTCCTCCCCTCCAGTCTTGTACAGGTGTACCAGCTCCTCCCCCTCAGTCTTGCACAGGTGTACTGGCTCCTCCCCTTCAGTCTTGCACAGGTGTACCGGCTCCTCCCCTTCAGTCTTGCACAGGTGTTTCGGCCCCTCCCCTTCAGTCTTGCACAGGTGTACCAGCTCCTCCCCCTCAGTCTTGCATAGGTGTACCGGCTCCTCCCCTTCAGTCTTGCACAGGTGTATCGGCCCCTCCCCTTCAGTCTTGCACAGGTGTACCGGCTCCTCCCCCTCAGTCTTGCACAGGTGTACCGGCTCCTCCCCTTCAGTCTTGCACAGGTGTAGCGGCCCCTCCCCTTCAGTCTTGCACAGGTGTATCGGCCCCTCCCCTTCAGTCTTGCACAGGTGTACCGGCTCCTCCCCTTCAGTCTTGCACAGGTGTAGCGGCCCCTCCCCTTCAGTCTTGCACAGGTGTATCGGCCCCTCCCCTTCAGTCTTGCACAGGTGTACCGGCTCCTCCCCTTCAGTCTTGCACAGGTGTACCGGCTCCTCCCCCTCAGTCTTGCACAGGAGTACCGGCTCCTCCCCTTCAGTCTTGCACAGGTGTAGCGGCCCCTCCCCTTCAGTCTTGCACAGGTGACACCACAACACTGCACTACACTCCCTCCACTGTCTCCTAACACACCACTAACTATCCTCATCTAACTCCACCAACACGCTAAGCAGCCTTATGTAGTGTGGGGCGTGGACTATGTCACTGAGACTTTGGCCAATCATTGCTCTTCCTGTGAACTCAACTGTGACTGGTCAGGTGCAATACTTTGGCCAATCACAGTGTAAGCATTGCATTGTGGGGCGCATGGGCGAACTTCCCACCGAACGCCCTTATCATTCCAGTGTTCGGCGAACACTCAAACCGCCAATGTTCAAGTCGAACTTACATTCTACCCGAACACATAGCCCATCCCTAATGCTGGATCTCTATCCTGACATGGACGGGGGATGGGTGGGAACGTAAGGACGCCCCATCATTGGATGGAAATGATCGCCCTACAGAGGACTGAATTCACAGACACCCCGAAAATCAAAGTGAAGAAATGATTCAGCAGGCGAGTCCATGTTGGTGAAATGTCATTGCAGCAACTCAGAATGGCCCTCAGTAGTCTGTGTGGCCCCCACGTGCTTGTATGCATGCCTGACAACGTCAGGGGAGGGTCCTAATGAGACCACGGATGGTGTCCTGGGTGATTTCCTCCCAGATCTGGGCCAGGGTGTCACTGAGCTCCTGGACAGTCTGATGTGCAACCTGGGGGCGTCGGATGGACCGAAACATGACATCCCAGAGGGGTTCTATTGGATTTAGGTCAGGAGAGTGTGGGGGCCATTCAGTGGTATCAATTCCTTCATCCTCCAGGAACTGCCTGCATACTCCCCCCACATGAGGCCGGGCATTGTCATGCACCAGGAGGAACCCAGGACCCACCGCAGCAGGAGGTACCTGGGACCCACCGCACCAGGAGGAACCCGGGACCCACCGCACCAGGAGGAACCCGGGACCCACCGCACCAGGAGGAACCCAGGACCCACCGCACCAGGAGGAACCCAGGACCCACCGCACCTGGAGGAACCCGGGACCCACCGCACCAGGAGGAACCCAGAACCCACTGCACCAGGAGAACCCAGGACCCACCGCACCAGGAGGAACCCAGGACCCCCACGCACCAGGAGGAACCCAGAACCCACTGCACCAGGAGGAACCCAGGACCCCCTGCACCAGTGTAGGGTCTGACAATGGGTCCAAGGATTTCATCCTGATGGCTAATGGCAGTCAGGGTGCCATTGTCTAGCCTGTAGAGTTCTGTGCGTCCCTCCATGGATATGCCTGAACCATGTTACAGGCAGCAGAACGTTCTCCACGGCTTCTCCAGACCCTTTCACGTCTGTCACATGTGCTCAGGGGGAACCTGCTCTCATCTGTGAAAAGCACAGGGTGCCAGTGGTGGACCTGACAATTCTGGGGTTCAATGGCAAATGCCAATCCTGCTCTATGGTACCAGGCAGTCAGCACAGGGCCCACTAGAGGACGTTGAGCCCTCAGCCACCCTCATGAGGTCTGTTTCTGATTGTTTGGTCAGAGACATTCACACCAGTGGCCTGCTGGAGGTCATTTTGTAGGGCTCATCCTGTTCCTCCTTGCACAAAGGAGCAGATACCGGTCCTGCTGATGGGTTAAGGACCTTCTATGGCCCTGTCCAGCTCTCCTAGAGTATCTCCTCCTGTCTGTCTCCTGGAATCTCTCCTGCCGTCTCCTGAATCTCCTCCATGCTCTCGTCTCCTGGAATCTCCTCCGTGCTCTCGTCTCCTGGAATCTCCTCCGTGCTCTCGTCTCCTGGAATCTCCTCCGTGCTCCGTCTCCTGAATTCTCCGTGCTCTCGTCTCCTGGTGCTCTCGTCTCCTGGACATCTCTCCTCCATGCTCTTGAGACTGTGCTGGGAGACACAGCAAATGTTCTGGCAATGGTACGTATTGATGTGCCATCCTGGAGGAGTTGGACTGCCTGTGTACAACCTCTGTAGGGTCCAGGTATGGCCTCATGCTACCAGTAGTGACACGACCCGAGCCAAATGCAAAACGAGTGAAAAACAATCAGAAAAGATGAGTAGGGAAAAAATGTCAGTGGCCTCCACCTGTAAAACCATTCCTATTTTGGGGGTTGTTTCATTGCTGCCCATCTAGTGCACATGTTGTTAATTTCATGAACACCAAAGCAGCTGCAGCTGATGAACAACCCCCTCTGCAACTTACCTGACCAGATCCATATCCCAGGAGTGTCATCGACTTGATGCTAGACTTGGATTACAAAGTCGGCCTTTCATTTTTTTAAGCCGTGTAGATAACCAAAACTTCTGGTTTCATGATCTATCCATCCCTGTGGCTTGGTAGTTCCTGGATGTGGTTTCTATTTTACACATTTTCTCTGACTTCACGTGACAAACAGAACATTGATAGTTTTCAGAGAAGTATTAACATCAGGAAAGAGTTTTGTCACATTACTTCCTCAGAGGAACAAACACATTGTGAGTCAAGTCTGAGGGATGGGGTAGGGAGGGTGTCAAACATGATGACCATTATACAACATACAGAGATACAGAGATACATCCAGAGATACAAGGATCCAGATGAAGAGATTCATAGAATCAATGAAGAAAGGCCAAGATCAATGGACCTGGTGATAACACCTACTACAGTGCAGGTCCATAGAAGGCAACCATCCCATAGGCAGACATGAGCCAAATGATTATGGCCGCTAACACACCCCATCTATCAAAAGTATGTGAAACCTCCTATAAATGATGGAGTTCACGTGTGTCCACCTATCACGCATATCAATTGGCCAAATGTATGCGAAACCTCCTATAAATGATGGAGTTCACGTGTGTCCACCTATCACGCATATCAATTGGCCAAAAGTATGCGAAACCTCCTATAAATGATGGAGTTCACGTGTGTCCACCTATCACGCATATCAATTGGCCAAATGTATGCGAAACCTCCTATAAATGATGGAGTTCACGTGTGTCCACCTATCACGCATATCAATTGGCCAAAAGTATGTGAAACCTCCTCTAAATGATGGAGTTCATGTGTGTCCACCTATCACGCATATCAATTGGCCAAAAGTATGCGAAACCTCCTATAAATGATGGAGTTCAGGTGTGTCCACCTATCACGCATATCAATTGGCCAAAAGTATGCGAAACCTCCTATAAATGATGGAGTTCACGTGTGTCCACCTATCACGCATATCAATTGGCCAAAAGTATGCGAAACCTCCTATAAATGATGGAGTTCAGGTGTGTCCAGTTCGGGTTTTTGTTAATTACGGCACACAAAAGCTTTGTAGACAATCGTGCTCTTCCAACCTTGTGGTAACAGTTTGGTGAAGACCCTTTTCTGTTCCATCAGGACTGCCCCGTGTGTACAAAACCAGCTCCAAAAAAACTTGGTTTTACCAGTTTGAACCAACTTCATAAAAACATGATTGACCAGTTTGGACCAGATCCATAAAGGCATAGTTTGACCAGTTTGGTGTGGAGGAACTCAAGTGTCCTGTACAGAGCCCTGACCTCAACCCTACTGAGCACCTTTGGGATGAATTGGAACCCTGATGGTGAGCCAGGTCTTCTCATCCATTATCAGTACCTGACCTCACAGATTAAATAATAATAGATCAAATCTTTTGGCAGTAATGATGAGTGATGATATCTCCTACTGCACAAGTCCAAACATGCGTCCATAGAAGATGACCATCCTATAGACAAAGACACCATGTTCATCTTCTTACTGAGGGATAAGTGGTATTAAATCTGAAAAGAGGATTGAGTGATGACATCTCATATTGTGCAGGGCCATACATTAGTCCATAGAAGGTGACCATCCCATAGCCAGACACCACATCATGATCATCTCCTCACAGAGAGAGTAGTAGTAGTATTAGATCTGAGAGGATTGCATGATGACATCTACTACCATGCAGGTCCATACATCGGTTCATAGGAGGTGGCCATCCCAGAGATAAAGACATAATCTCATGTTCATCTTCTCACAGAGGGATAATAGTATTAGATTTGAGAGGAGAATTGAGTGATGACAGGTCCTCGTGCCTGATGTATGGACCCAACAGTGTAGAAGATGAGGATCCTATAGGTACAGACAGAATAACGTTCTTCTTCTCACAGAGGACCAAGGGACAGATGTCTTTGCAGTGGCGGTACACGAGTTCGGACACGCTCTGGGGCTCTCTCACTCATCTTCAGAGAAATCTATCATGAAGCCATACTACCAGGGGACGCTGGGAGACCATCGGTATTACAGGCTCTCGGCTGATGATATCGAGGGGATCCAGGCCTTGTATGGTAAGTACACCATTTCCAATGACTCCGGCACTTAAGACACCACCAATGTAACACCAACATACTGTAAATGTATTCTTTATTCTCCACTAGGTAAAAGAGACTCGGCTCCAAGACCGCCTCCGCCAGCTCCAAGACCTACCCAGCATGCAATCCCCCCACGGGGGCCCACCTATCAGTAAGATTCCTGTTTACCATTACAAGCACTAACAACTGGCTATTTGTGGAAGGCTTTGCAAACCCCAAAAACACATCTCTTAAGGCTAGATCATACAGTGGAAAGTGATACAAATAGTAACAAGATCTGCTAGGCCACGTAGTTCCCGTAATATTTCCAGCACTGGGAACCAACGAAGGACGTCTTCTCATGATGTCTCAGAGCTGACCTCATGTATGACATGTCCAATGTACTTCTCTTCCTTCCTCGGAGTCTGGTTGGTGGCCAATGAGGCAGAAAAGGTTTTTCTTGGTATAGACACTGATTGCCGGCAACCCAAAACTCCTCAACCACTAGTGCAGTCCGAACCCTGACCACCAGGGCTCATGTACGGTACTAAAGGAGCATTATAGCAACCAATATTGTATTCTGATGTCTGCATGGAGTTTATATACGTGATGATGTCACCAAATTGCCATCCTTTTCTTGATTTGAATGCTATTTATAATTTTGTGTTGTCAACCTCTGTCATGTCTGCTGGACAGCTTGGCCTGCCGGTGAATGCGTAGAAACCCATTTGCACATGGCGTACTCGCATGGCATGCATTATCCACAAAGAGTTACCCAAATGCAGTATTTTCCTACAAGTGGCACTCTCAAAGTCCTACTGAACTTTCATTAAGGGGTTGTAAAGGTATGCAGAGTTTCACAAACAAATGCCAAGGGGGCAAAACTGGGTTCAAGCTTCAGGGTTTGTTTTACCTTCGTCGTTAAGACGTTGACCTAAAATTCGATTGGGCTTGAAGCCTACGTGAGTATTAATCCAACAATCTAATAATAGTGATGTATATCTGTGCTGAATCCATCATATACGGTGAAAAAGCAGCTAACACAGAACTGCAGGCAGCATATAAAATGACAAAAACCAAGATGTAGCGCTTGTTCACCCCGCTCTCACACAAAGTGTAATATGGCAATCCTCAGAAAAGTCCATAAAATGGGACTATATTTTATATAAAGCCCATATCTTTGGAAAGGTGATGTGCCACCGAAGAGGATCCTCCACCGTGACGGTGATGGTGACCACTCACAGCCTCTTACCAGAGACTATGACCACAGATCATGCGGCCAGAAACAGCAAGTATGGGGAATCAATGGATGTAATGGAACCTAAATGAATCTTCTCCACCAAAAGACAATTCCAGAACTGGTAACTCGATGGTGGATAACCTCAGAGATAATGGGACAAAGGGAACAAAGGCTCCTCATAGCGAAGTATTTAAAATAATCCAGACCTGAATAAGAATATTGCACTTACAAACAGAAGAAGAAACCAGCATGTAAAATAAGTAAATTTCCAACCAACAAAATGGCCGCGGTACGTGATGACATCATAAGCCGTAGCTCCACCTACGTATTTCATCATGAGACGTTGTCAGGGGCTTATGACGTCATCACACCACGCACCGCGGCCATATTCTCTGGTAAGAGGCTGTGAGCGGTGACGGTGGAGGATCCTTTTCTTCACCTTTCCAAAGATATGAGCTTTATATAAAATATAGTCCCATTTTATGGACTTTTCTGGTGACTCTAATGTATTGCCATAGTACAATTTGTGGAAGAGTGGGGTGAATAAACGCTACATATTGGTTTTTGTAATTAATCCAACAGTTCCAACTCAATTTATGAAGGATCAAGTTGAGTGATCACCTCAGATTTACCATGCCCGCAGCTGCCATAGGCTCCTCTTCATGAGCTGGCACCAAGTGATGAACCCGTGAGGAAGAACCAGGCAGGACAGTTCTATGTGGATTCCACCTACCAAGAGTGAGTGCATTTTACCAGATGGCACAGAGGGCCTTTCCTGTTTCCGTGAGAACCTTCTTAGAAGTCTGGGCAGCCGACCAGTACTTAAGAGCTGTGAGCCCACTGTGGAGGTCATTCGAGGGACCACTTGAACAACATCCACGGCTGCATTGCACAAGTACTGGAAGCCCTAGACTAGTTGGTCTGCTAGGTCCACATAAACCTGTTATGCAGCCTCACGCACTTGGTCCGGGTCTGGGAAAGCATAGCCGAAGCCCGGCCTGATCGTGAGAAATGAATCTGTATCCTTCAATGAACTATTGTAAGCTCCCAGGATCAGGGCCCTCCTGTCCCTCTTGTATTGAACTGTATTGTCTCCCATTATATTATAAAGCGCTGAGCAAACTGTTGATGCCATAAATCCTGTATAATAATACTTATAGAGAAATTGAGGCCACCCTTACTGACCTCCATTGTGAAAATGCTGGTTCCCCAACTGTCTCTGGTTCAAGTTATGGACCTAAGACAAGCATGCAGATCAGGAAAGACACAATGGTCAGCATGACACATGAGGTATGACCTGGAGGCCAAAAACAGCCTCCTTACTTCTTCTGGGCAGGTTTTTTTTGGCTAGTTCTAAATTCTGGTATCTTTTGGCCCAGAACCTGGAGCTTTTGGTTTGGCTGTTACCAGGCAGGATGAGGTAGGTTACTGGCTACAGGAGTTGGTTAAGTGCTCGGATACTGAGGATTTTCACTTGAGTCAGAAGTCAATACCAAAGGCTACGAACATTGGCTCCATGCACCAAACAGGACATTCAACCATCAATGCTAACGTAGGTATTTAAGAAGCTAAACCCTGGAGATTTTGCAGTGGAAAATATAAAACATCACATTATGTTCTCATTTTCCCACCACAAGGAAAATATGAAATGTTCGTTTAATGTAGAGTTGGATTGGAGCTTCCATACCATCCGTGATAAGGGAAAGATTCCAAGATGTATCACTTGTGAACCATACACTCACCAACCATGCACTATATTAATGTTTTCATGTCAAGCATTTACTCTCCACAATGTAATGTTCCATCTTTTCCATCAGGCCCCGCCCTCCACTTTTTGATCGCTGTTCCACTCATTTTGATGCTATTGCAAATATTCGAGGAGAAGTGTTCTTCTTTAAGAGTAAGGCTTGAATGCCGTTCTTTGCACAATTCTCCCCATTAAAACATTGCTTATCCCTTACAGTCTTATCTTCTCATTCTCAGACAAGGTCTTCTGGAGAATGCAGGCATCTCGAAACCTCGTATCCCTCAACCCAGCTCAACTCCACCACTTCTGGCATGGGCTACCTCTAGACTTACCACGACTGGACGCTGTGTATGAACGGCAAAATGACAGCAAGATTGTGTTCATTGCAGGTCAGTACAGAGCAGGGGGTGATGTGTGCATGAACTGGAAAGGGGTGGTCTGGGTGTATGGCCATAGCTCTACTGCATATGATGGATATGGAGGTCTCCCCCAAACTGACCGCTACGAGCATACCAAATATGGTCAGCCCTATTAAGGTGATGACTCTTTTTGCTGCATCTGCTGTGATCTTACTCCGATCCTTTCTTGTATCCGTACAGGGAATAATTTCTGGGTGTTTAAAGACACACTGGTGGAGCCCGGCTACCCACGGCACCTCTCTGATTTTGGCTTGAACACGGACAGAATTGATGGAGCTTTCGTGTGGAAGCATAACAAGAAAACCTACTTTTTCAGAAACAACCGCTTCTGGAGATATGATGAGAAACTCGGAAGAATGGATGGCCGCTATCCGCAGGACACCAACCTATGGCAAGGGCTGCCGCCTGAGATCGATGACGTTATCAGCTGGGTAGATGGTGAGTTTCATGGTTTTCACTGGGAAATTAAGGACCATGGTCCCAGACAAAAGAAAAAAACCCCAAAACGTCCCTCTTTAGATTTCACACTTTAAAATTAGGATTTTACTATGTATATCCAGTCAAACAGGAAATCAGACTGTTGAAATTAAGCTGTAGATCTCAGATAAACTGAAACCACTCGAATAACATCAGAATAGAGCAGCACCTCCTCCTTAGGATGAGGGGAAAAAAAAAAAGATAGCCACACAAGGTCCTGATTTACGTGGAATGAAGAAACCACCTTGGGCAGGAAAGTGGACTGAGGAGTCAATACCCTGTCCTGGTGAAGAACCAAGGATTATTTGCCAACTTTGACACCCTTCCAGCTGAGGTAATGGCCATCAAAAAGACAACCTTGTGTGTAAAGAGTGACGAGAAAATCTATTGGAGAGGTACAAAAGGTGTAGACTGCAACACAGACAAGGCCAAGCTAAGGACCCACGGTGACAAGGGGGGCCTGCATAGGTGGAATCATTATGTGACATGCTCCACAACGTCTAACTAATGAAGGAGATGCAATAGGCCAATATATGTTCATTGCTGGTACCAAAGCCAGAGACGTATCCCCACCAGACAGGAGAAAAGTCAAAATGAGCCCCATAAGATACTGTTTGGGATGAAACTCACGAGCCCACCAGGCAAAATAAGCCTTCCATGCATAATGGTACATCCTGCTGGAGGTCGACTTATCTTGCCTTGAGGAAGGCAGTAGTGACAGAAACCATAAACATCCTTATCCATCATGACATGGACTTCAACATCTATACTGTCAAAGCCAGCGATTGCAAAGCAGGATGGAAGATCAGACCATGCAATAGTAAATCTGAACAAACTGGATGAGGCCAAGGCTCAGCTGTTGAGATAGTTACAAGGTCTGCATTCCACGTTCTTAGCCAAGCCAGTGCACATTAGGAAGCACCAAAATGCCCTCCACCCTAATTCTGTGCAACAGGCAAGGAAGAAGCTGTAGTGAAAGAAATGCATAGATCAGGAAAAAGTGATTCCGAGGAGTCTCCAGGGAATCCACTGCAAATGCCAGATGATGCCAAGTTCAGGACAGAAATTCTGCTCTTTGTTGTTGAAGCTGGATGCCAAGAGGTCTACCTCTGGGATTCCCCAGCACAGACAAATCTCTGCCAACACCAC